CTTTTGCATTCCAGTCACCAGTAATAATCAACACATCTAACTTCTACAGTCTGAAATTGACCAAGCTGAAGAGATTACAACAGGATATTTTAAGGTTCTATATACTTCTTTCTTCCACTCCTCAGAAGGAAGGTTGGGCAATTCTACTTCTGTAGTGATACCGCCTCGGAAACCCAAGGAGGGGTCACTATGAGTCGGGGCCAACTCGACTGCACATATCAACAACAGCAGCAGCATATATTTCTTTCTAGGTTTAATCACTTACTAGTAATAGGTTCTTTCTTTCATTTTTTTTAAACTTTTTATTGTGATTTGGGTGAAAGTTTACAGAGCAAATTCCTTTTCCATTCAACCATTCATACACATTTTGTTTCATGACGTTGATTGCAATCCCCACAATGTATTAGCTCTCTTTCCACTTCCTTCCTTTGTTTAACTTTTCCCTGTGTCCTTTCCCATGCTCTCCTGCCTCCTGAGCTTTTCTCTATGCAAATGCTGCCCTTCTGATTTTCCATGGTTTATTGTTCTAAGGAGTGCACCTCTTTGGTATAATTGTCACCTCATAGGCCTGTCTATTGTTTATCTGAAGGTTAAGCCAAGGGAGTGAGTTCAGTTCCAGGCCTGAAGGTTGATTAGAGGCCAGAGTCTCAGGGCTTTCACCAGTCTCTATTAGATCAATAACCTTGGTCTTTTTTTTTTAAATGATTTTGAGTTTTGTTCCACATTGTTCTTCTACTCTATCCAAGATCTCCAATTGTGACTCATTCCGGAGTGGTTGGCCGTGATAGCCAGGAACACGTAGTTCTTTTGGTCTCAGGGTCATGTAGGCTGAGGTCCCATAGCCCCTTGGACTAACTGTTGCCATGCATCTTTGATTTTCTTCCTTCTTCCTTGCTCACAAAGATAAGGAGATACCAATAGTTGCATTTTACATGGCCATTCACAAGCTATTAAAGCCCCAGTCTCTACCCACCAAAGTAGGATGTAGAACAATGATTTGGTATAGTATGTTACACCACTTGAACTTGATGTCCTCTGCAACCACAGTTCTGAGCTCTCAGGGCTGACTTAATCCCTCAAGGTGTTTGGTTGTGGCTAAGTTATAACTTTGTTCCCTGTTCACTCTATTATAAATACATATTTATAGCACACACAAATATGTATACAGAAATATCATCTGCCAAATCCATATGTGGTCATGGGTATATTCCTGTTCACCTACCCACACCTGATCATGTTCCTGGTCTCCCTATGAATCCACTAGTAGATCAATGTTCGTCATTGCTGATAATGCAGTATTATGTTTGTAACAGTATTTTCCTTTGTTGTCTGTGGCTCTTGTTCACCTCTCTATGTCTTCCTTTTCCTAAGTGATATTGTGATAGTCACCCACTTTTGGTATATTCCCTTTCTAATAGCTTCTTTCTCCATATGTTCATTTGTACTCTTTACAGTATTTTGAATTTACTCTCTCATTTAATTCTCAGTGTTATGGAGAAAGTAGATAAACTGAAAAACCAAACCAACTGCCATTGAATTGATTTCAACTCATAGAGACACCCCTTGAGTTTCCAAGGTGGTAAATCTTTACAGAAGTAGATTGGCCCCTCTTCCTTCCACAGAGCAACTGGTGGGTTTGAACCACCAGCCTTCTGGCTAGCAGTCAAATGCCTTAGGCACTATACCACCAGAACTCCTTTTAAGGAGAAAGCTAAAATATCAATCTTTCAATGATCAACTCGAGCATCAGCTCCTATAAGACTTTCCCTATCTCTCTAGGCAAAACTGGTCACTAATGCTTTAAACCTCAAATGCACCCTGAAAAGGTATCTCTTATGTACCTATGAAATTTATTGCACTCTTTGCTAACTTGTTTTTCTTCATCCAATGTCCTATAAGCTCCTTGAGGGTAGAAATTTATTAATTCAATGGCATCTACTGAGTACCAGACATGTGCTAAGTCTGTAAACCCAGAGATCAACTAGACACATCCATGCCTTCAGAAAACATCTCATCTAACAGAGGGGATAGTTAAGTAAAGAAATAATGATGGAAACAGCACAGCCAGAATGGAAATAATGAGAATGGTCACATATTTGAAGACTGTGACCAATGTCACTATGTATGAATTGTTAAATGAGAACCTAAAATGCTATGCAAACTTTCACCTAAAACACAATAAAATATTATTTTAAAAAAGTAAAGGTTGAGAGGGGCACAGGGGGCTGGGAAAGTGTGAGAAACTGGGAGTTAGGACCTCAGAGACCATAGCTGATTCCTTGACTCCCTCATTCCCACCATCTTTCATTCAAAACTCCTGCTCTGTGCCAGCACTGTGGTGATGAGTGAAACAGAGCCCTGGTCCTCATGAAATATAGAATCCAATAGGGAGGACAGGCAATGACTAGTGAGACAAATAATATTTATATAACATGATATGCTATGAAGGAAAAAAAAAAATAACAGGGCTCTGTGATACAGAAAAATAGAGTGACTTGTTTAGAAAGTCCTGCTATTTGAGAATTTTAAGTGTCCAATGGGGTGAAATATCAGGGACAAGCACACCGAGCAGTTTTTCCTGCATCCTCCGCTTCCATAAGAGTGTTTGGTGCGCAGTAGATGTTTATTCAATGTTAGCACATCTAATAGATGGGATAATAAAGAATTGATGTAATAACTTATTTTTCCATAACGTAGTTACTACAAAATGTAAAGAGATAATATAAACTTTGAAAAACATAATAAATTAACATTTCATAAAACATAAAGATGTCTACTGCTGGATTTTTTATTCCAAGGGTAATTATCAATTTTTACTTTTTATTGAAACCAAATCAAGCTTAGTAAACTGTATTAAAAAAATATAGGAACAGTTTAAAATAGCAGCCATCAGAATTGTTTTTTCCTTTTTTCCACAGATCTGTAACATTAAAATTGCTTTATTCTAATTCTTCCATTTCTTCTACTAGACATTTGATTTTTTTTTTTTTTTAAGGATATTTCCTCTCATAATCTACTCTTTCTGTGCAGCCTTATAATCCAGTCTAGCCAAGCATTTCCTAAAATCAATTCTCTTTAATAATGTTGTTGTTGTTGTTATGTGCCCTCCAGTCAGACCCGACTCATAGCGACCCCTCCTTGGGTTTCTGAGGCAGTATCATTAGGGAAGTAGATTGCTCCATATTCTTTCTGAGGAGTGGCTGGTGGGTTTGAACCGCCAGCCGTCTGGTTAGCAGGCAAGTGTCTTAGCCACTATGCTACCAGAGCTCCCCTCTTTAATACTAGCACCATAAAATTTTAATACTAAAATATTAATAATTTTAATATATATATATTTTTAAATTTTATGGTGCTCTTTAATACTAGCACCATAAAATTAAAAAACAAACAAACAAAAACAAAAAACCTGTTGCCTTGGAGTTGATGTCAACCCATAGTGGCCCAATAGGACAGAGTAGAACTGTCCAATAGGGTTTCCAAGGCTGTAATCTTTACGGAGGGAGCTCTGGCAGCGTAGTACCTAAGGCACTTGACTGCTAACCAGAAGGCTGGCGGTTCAAACCCACCAGCCACTCCTCAGGAGGAAGGTTGGGCAATCTATTTCCGTAGTGATACTGCCTCAGAAACCCAAGGAGGGGCCGCTATGAGTCGGGTCCAACTCGACTGCACATAACAACAACGATCTTTACAGAGGAGCCCTGGTAGCACAGTGGTTAAGTACTCAGCTGCTAAGTGAAAGGTTGGCAGTTTGAACCCAAACAGTTACTCTGCGAGGGAAGCCTGAAGATCTGCTTCGGAAAGGAAACTGGGTGGGGCAGCTTCATTCTGTCTTGTAGGGGCACTCCAGGTTGGAATGACTACCGCACACGTGGTGACGAATCTTTAAGGAAGCAGACTGCCACATCTTTCTCCTGCAAAGCAGTTGGTGGATTTGAACTGCCAACTTTTCAGTTAACAGCGTAGCACTTAATCGCTGCACCACCAGGGTCCTTTTCTCATGAGGTAGCATATACAAATTATTTTTAAATAAGGTTTTTATGATTAAATAAGTTTGTAAAATATACAGTATATGACACCCTTCTCTTTGAGACTGAAACTACACATTATCATGGTACAAAAAAAAAAAAAAAAAACCCTCACTGCTTGTCAATTCGACTCATAGTGACCTCCTCTTTGGGTTTCCGAGGCAGTATCACTTTGGAAGCAGATTGCCCAATCTTCTTTCCAAGGAGTGGCTGATGGGTTTGAATCACCAGCCTTCTGGTTAACAGTCAAATGCCTTAGGCACTATGCCACCAGAGCTCTTTACAATTATCATTGTAAATATTGTGAAAATACTTAAAAGGAAAGAAAATTTTCATGTTGCAAAACTATGTTTTATAAACTTATTTGAACACGAAATTCTTTCCTTGAGAAAGTGTCTCTGTACCTAGCATACTTCAGAGCATTCTTTGGGGAACACTGTTGTAAATGGTCACGCAAAGTGTTGAAACACTTAACTAATCTCTGAAAAGCGTTAGCTGAAAACAGCTTAAAATACCAGCCCCTACTCAAGAGTATCTGTTTTATAATAATTTATAAAGGTAAAGCATCCAAAATACAAAGGGATGACTTTGCAGTTATGGCATAATGGGCAGTAAGGAAGGTATTTTGAAGTTTGAGGCTTGGCTCAGGACTTTTCCAAATCATAGGTACTGCTGTTACCCCTTCATTCTACTTTACAGATACAGAAATTAAGACATGTAGGACACTGTTTAAAGACCCAGTGTCTTGTATCCTCTTTGGGCTGTATATGTTTCTTAATGCTGCTATTTCTGCATAAGAATATAAAGACCATTCAAATTTATGTTCAAACTGATGAACATTTTTTTCAACAAAATAAAGAGATAATGTAGTTGAAGTTCAAAGTTAAGAGCAGCGTAATGAAGTCCTTCTTCCTCAATGTTATTCCCCCCCTCCCCCAGCAACGTAAATAATCATGGGTTTAATTGTAATTCCAGGTGGCATTTGCTTATTTCAAAGATTTTCATCTGTTGCTAATTGGAGTCATCTGTTTAGCAACATCAATAGAAAAATGGAATTTACACAAGAGGATTGCTCTGAGAATGGTGATGATGGTGGGTGTGAACCC